GTTACTACCCCCCCCCCAAAAAAAAACACACAACAAAAAACAAAAACAAAAAACAAAAAAAACGGAAAAAAAATCACGTGTGTTGGAAACCGTCACTTATTGTCCTTTACTCTGTTTCTCCTGTCTGTTTGTCTCGTTTCTTCCCAATACAGGGTTCCTGCCATGAACTTCCCATCAAATTCAAGGTTTCAAGGAGAAATTTTTAAAATTCAAGGATATTTGGTAAAAAAATTCATGACGAAAGCCTATTTTCGAAGGCCCACACTTGTCCGAAAGGAACCATATCATAGTTTCGATTTTCCTACAAAAACTGTTCCCAGGGTGACTGCCAACCCGACTTCTCAATTTTCCAGGCAGGGGCGGCTCATCCATTCTCCAGGGGAATGTTACATAACAATGACAGTGCATGCTCCATTTATATTTTATATACAATATATACACACACACGTGTGCACGCACGCATGCAGGTACCTTATATCCAGTCAACAACATGTCAGTGTGGTACTGGGGTACTGTGACTTAGGTATTTCAGTCTGTTCTTACTTATTTATATTTTCCCCTCATCAAATTCGCCTATTAACTATATAAAAATGAATCTTGCTTTGAGCCTGAGAAAAGGCCTAGAACCAGAATATCCACTGTCAAGAACCAGTATAGGGTGTCAAGGTTTATATAATAAACGTGAAAGACAAAAGTTATTGCTCAAACTCAAAGTAGAGTAATAACATGTATGGCTCAAGTAGACCTATTCAGCATGAGAGGTGTAAGAACTATGGGAGGGCAAAATGCAGTGACACTGAAAATCTGCAAATCTTGAACAGAAAGCTAAAATATAGAATATACAATCAATGAAACGGGAACCCTTTAGTTACAAAAACACGGCTTACAAGGTTTGAGTATGACAGATCCCGATTCCACACAAGGCCTGCAACAACGCGCACTGTGCAGAGCTCTAGATAATAGAGTAGTAATCAAAATTCTGAAAAGTAAAATCTGCTTCCAAGTTCAGTTTTCGTCATCTGGTGTTGCCTTCAACCTCAGCCCCCCGGCGTGTGTCTTTAAAAATAAATCAATCAGTAATCATCCCATTCCCGAGTCCTATACTTCGCAGCGCTCAGACTTTGCATGAACTTTGGTGACCTCAACCATCGCCGATACTCACGATGGGACGAAAACGCACAGGTTCAATGACCGGTCACGATGGCGAGCCCGACAAGAAACTTTTTTTTTCTTTCTGTTTTTTCTACAAGTGACAGCACAGGACAAACGAATTATTTTCATGGCTACACAGCGTTTGTAATGCAGATGCAGAACCTGCATGTTACAAATGTGGCGCTATCAGACTACTATAGGCCCTACCGGCAAATTTCTTGGTGGTAACGAAAGCGAAAGTAGATCTTGATTTTCCCGATCGAGCTTCGGTATCGCACATACACTTCCATTTGTTGCCACCATAACCGCCTGTGCGCGTGTAACGTACTCTCAGGCCGGGAAAGGCCGAATGAATTATATTATATATCACAACCGCGATCCACAAAAATGGACTCAAGGACGTTATCGGATTTGGTTTTCAAATATTCGAGAACGTTTATGTATTTTCCCGGGTCTTTCACGGGGCAATTTACAGATTTCTTCAAATTCCCGTTGCATTCCGGGTGTCGGCGATTTTTTTCAAATTCTTGGGTAATTCCAGGGGCCCCTTGAAAGCAAATTCAAGCAGTTTTCATGGACTCCTTGCATTCAAGGAGGCCGCGGGAACCGTGCCAATAGTAAACAACAGTAATTGTGTCGATGTGTTTATCTTTACAAATTGTAACTAAATAAAAACGTCTGTGACATTTTAACCTCATTTTGTCCTCCTTGTGTTCACAGAGATCGAAGCACCTGCCAATGCGGCCCAGTTCGACGCCAGCCCACAGCTCCGAGAAACCCTGGCCTTCAACTTCTCTTCTATGTCCTTGAACGAAACGCCCGGGTCGCCGACCCCTCCCGCGCCCTTGACCCCTCTGCTCCAGCACCACGCGGGCATCCACTTCAACCCCCTGACTCTTCACAACCTGAAGGGCCGTAACGTGAGGGTGAGCACAGACCGCACTGTGGCCGTGAGGCTGAGGGAGGAGTACTGTAATGCCTTCGTCTTCACCTCCAGGCCAGTCCGATGTGGCGAGACCATCCTCATCCAGGTGACTGCAGCTGTTGGTTTAAATTGTCACACTCTCAAGCACACACACACACACCAACGCATGCTAGTAAACACACACACACACACACACACACATACACACACTCATGCAAGTACA